GGGGGGTCGGCCGCAGCAAAGTTATGAGACAGACCCGCAAACTTTGCTTTTCTCTGCAGCTCCCAGACCAGAACAGAGATGCTTGTCACAAGGACAATCGCTGTGTTCCTGGGGGAAGGTGAGTCACCTCCCCGCCGGCTTCCAGGGCATCCATCCACACACCTGCAAATCCAGCCAAACCCTCAACTCCCCTCCAACACCCTCGCACAAAACCCCTCACCCCGCTCAGGGATTTCAGGGGAGAGATCTCCCAGACCAAAGGAAGGTCCGATTGCGGTCATTTTTCATGACACTGTTTACTCTTCAGAAATCCTTTTTTTCTCCCCCTGGACTGTTTCGAGCCAGGCTTGGGGGAGCTGGACTGATTCTGTAAATACGACCGTACTGCATGGCACTGTGAGCAGACTCAGCATGCATCTTCTACCTGAACAGCCCTCCTTTGCTTTGAATGTTAAAGCCCTCTTGGAGGGAAGAATACAGTTGAATGAACCCTGAGAAAATGTCCACGGGATTCAATAAAAACTCCACGTCCCTTCAGCAGGGCCACGACAGCGGGGCCCGTGCTGTCTTAGGCATCAGGTCCCGGGTTTTCCTGAAAGCCCTTTGAGCTCTTCTGCCGGGTGCCAGTCCCCGTGGATGACACGCCTTGTGCTGAAGTCTCAGAGGTCCCTGCCTTAGCCACTGCAGCCTGACTCTGGACGAAGGGAAGACACTGAGAAAGTTGCTCTGCTTTCCTGAATGAGGCGATAGAGGAAAAACTGGTTTATTGAGCAAGAGTAGTCCATTCAGGCCAGGCTGCCTCGGCAGAGTTTTCTGCGAGTCATCCAGAGAACGCATTAGTGTTAGTCTTAGTGTTAGTACCAGGGCCAAGGCGGCGGCGGCGGCAGGGGTAGGCACTGGGCAGGCTGCGGGTGCGGAGAGCAGCTGCCCGCAGGGGCCGCGCTGCCCGCCCCGCGCTCGCTCCGCTCCGCTCCGCACCCGCTTTCAGGCCCAGGACGGTTCCTCCTAGCCTGAGTCCCGCGATAAAAAAGCGCGGCAAAACCAAATTAAAATGGAAAAGCTGTTAGTAAAGAGCGGCTGAGATGCTTCCTGAAATACTGGTGCCCGGATCACGCCCCCCCCTACCCCGCTAGGAGAGGGGGTTGCTTTTCCGCTGTCATTTGGACTGTCACCAAGTGCTGAACTTGTCCTTAAACTTCCCCTTTCTTTCCCCTCTTTTTTTTGTCTTCCCTCTTTTCTTCATTCCCCTTTCCCCATCCCTCACTCTTTCTGCTTGCCTCCTTATCAGATCCTCTCCCGACCTTCCTGCTTCTATTTTCCGTTCAGCTTTCCCTTCTCCTCTTTTTGGCCCCTTTTAATAATGCAGCTCTGCCTGCCTGCTGCCTGCCTGGCCTTTTTCACTTCTATCCCTCAAGTGCTCCTTTCACGTTATTAAAATACTGCCTGTCTGTCTGTCTATCCATCCACCCATCTATCTATGAATCTATCTATCTATCCATCCTGGATCATTCTCATCCCCTCATCCAGGTTTTTTTTCTTATCGTTTCCTTCTCCTTGCCCTTCCATGCTCCCCTGGATACCCGCTGGCTCAGTTTGCCCCTCTCTTTTCCCTTCTTTCCCTTTTGCTTTCCGCGGTGTTAGCAGCGCTCTGATGCTCTCTGTCACCCCTCACTGGAGTGGCCCCGACAGGTTCACAGTGGCAAGCCCAAGCCGGGAGCACTGGCGCTGGGCTGTCCCCGAGCAGCCACGCAGGGGAGCTGGGGCTGCATCCCAGCAGCGGGGCCGGCCCGGGCCCAGGCCCGTGCTGCGGCCGGCGGGGTGCAGTGGTGCAC